AATTTCAAAATGAGTATAAGGTAAAGGCACCTAATTCCGAGGGGTTCTAAAATTGGAACCACATTCCGAGGTATTTTAAAAAATTGCATTTACGTGCGATTTATTAGCTCTTTTTACTGCAAGATCACTCATTGAATTGATAATATAACTTTGTGTAGTTATATCATCAAAGATCTGGAGTTATGTGTATAGAATTTATAATAATTGATTAGTTTTGCGTCTACAGCTGGTCTGAACCCACGCCTAATACATTTTGGTCCTTGCGCACGTGAATACCATGTTTTGTTAAATAGTGATTTTTGAGCTATTTTTGTACCGTGTGTGTAATTCTTTGAAATACACTATTTCATGGGTTTTATTTTTAATAGAAAACACTAAACATTTGTATGTTTTTCTGAGTACATCAAGGTGAAAATATGTCTTGAAAATACCGCGGCGTGAGGTGCCAAATATTTCAACTGTTTCCTTATTCTTATGTATACCGTGGAATGACGATTGTAGATACATTACCTCATTTTTAATTTTCAGGGTTGTTTTTATATTAGGCTCTTTTATGTTGCTATCTTCTCTTTCAAAAACCATTTCTTTCGTCTTACTTGCGGTCACTTTCATTCCCCTTTCTTTTAATGCCCAGTTTATTATTGTAACCATCATTTGCAACTCAGCCGCCGATGACGCAAATATGACTTGATCATCGGCATACAGAAGGCATTTGACGGTTAACTCGCCCATTCTTAACCCACATTCTTCATCTTTCAAAGTTTGTCCATAAATAGGTTGAACAGCCAAGGGGAAGCTACACAGCCCTGTCTGACACCTTTTTGGATTCCACCAGTCAGAGTAGACCCCATTAATCTTGACACAAGCACTAGAGTCCCTATAAAGAGACCTTAATGCCTCTATCAACCCAGCGCTCAACCCAAATGAGTTCAGTGTTTGCCATAACACATTCTTGTTCACTGTGTCATAAGCCTTTTCCAAGCCCATGAACGCACAAAAACTTTCTGGTATTTGGCCAAAAACTTCTCCGCAATCATGCGCATGGAAAAGACTTGATCTGTACATCCCATTCCCTTTCAAAATCCCGCTTGCACATCCCAAATTTTTCCATCAGTTTCTTTCATAACGCTTTCAATTAACATCTTAGCATACAGTATACCCACGATACTAAGCAAGCTGAAACCACGGTAGTTTTTGCAGTCCTGCTGTGACCATTTTCCTTTATATATTGATATTATAACTGCTTTACACCAGTTTCAATTCCCAATATTAATAAAACAAGGTGTACAGCAGGCCTGCCACCACTGCCTATCCAGCCCTTAGCATCTCGAGTGATGCTCTATCATATCCAGCTGCCTTACTTGCTTTCATGCTTTTCATTGCTTTCATTATTTCATCTACACTCATCTTCATACCCTTTCCACTTCCTTCGGAATTTCTAGTTCATTTAATTCAGACGACTCTTCACTCATAAACACGCTTTCAAAGTATTCTTTCCATCTCTTTAAGTTCGAAACTTCGTCACTTAAGCGCTTATTACATTATACAATTTTTAGAAAATCTAATTAGGAACCTAAATTAGAAGCTAGTGATCACATTACACTAAATTGAATTCTAAATCCTGACGAAGAGTATTCGTAAAGAATTATCGACGGGGTTGCACGTTTGATCGATGGACTACCTAATGACATGGTTACCACCACGGCTTAGGACTTGCCTAAGCCGTGGTGGTAACCATGGATATTAAAAAAAGAGAAAAGAGTACTTGTCATTGAGAAAAAAACTGTCCATAAATAATATAATTATATATTTTTATAAGCAGTTTTTTTATAGGATAGGGTGACAAATTAGCACACAGTCCACCTGATGGTAAGTGGTTGCTGCGACCAATGGACATCTACATCTATCTCCGATTACAAATCAAAATGCAGTTGGAATGCCTCGTTTCCAGTAAAAAGGGTCTCCGGTTCTCTACACTCGCCATACGAAACCGCAACATTAAGCTACTATTTTACGCTGGTATTCTGTGAGAGCGTGGTCCTTCCTCGGTCGAGCCGACCCATTCATGCTACAACTATACTACTAATACAACTGCACTATGGCTCTACCACCTATAAAACAGTTTGATTATTTGTTAAGTTTGCTATCTAAACATATTGAAAAAGAGTCACGATATTTCGATAAAGTGTGAGTGCCAAAGAATGTTTGATGGTGACATTACGTTTTATAGCCACCGGAAATTAATATTAAGATTTAAAGTATTGCTCTCTGATATCAGAACCGCTTCTATCAAAACTTCAAGACATCCGCTTGTATCAAAGCGCGGGCGCCGACTGGTTGTTTAAAATCGTAACGTTGCGATTACGCTGTCCTAAATTGTAAACAATTTAGGAAGTAGAGCGATTGGAACCTCCAATTTAACTAAATCGAATCCTAACTGTTCTAACTACGATTACACCTTCCTATTTCCTAATTAGATTTCCTAAAAATTGTATAATGTAATAAGCGCTTTAGAATACGTCCGTTTCTGTTTCGTATGGCATTAATTCTAGGCTGTTTTGTATTTCCCCTTTTTTTCCAATTTTTATATTAGCCTGGAAGTTATCAGATATTTCTATCATTCTTATCCGTTCTTTCTTGCTTTATCCTTTCAACTACTTCTTTTACTCTCTTATTTAGACGTCTGAATTCTGCCTCTTCTCATCATTCGTACTGCCAGAACTACCAGCTTTGGTTGCTAGTAAATCTAACCATGCTTTCTTCTTTGCTTTAACTTCCACCCGTACCTCATCATCCCACCACAGCGTATTATTTTTCCTTTCATTTGTTCTCTCACTTACACCATATACTTCGGTGGCTGCATCCACCAACGTAATAATACAGTGGTAGACACAGATGCCCGATGCCGCCAACGCTAGAATAGACCATTAAATCGACGTAAGACCAAGTAATGATCCATCCCTACGTTGGACCCCCGGTAAACCCTTGTATGTACGACTGCGCTCCTCATTCTTTCATTCACAATTATGAAATCTATCATGCTTCTAACATTACCTTTTTTACAGTACACTTCTTATGACGAAAAAAGTGTTCGTCACAAAAATATTCCTTTCCACACTTACGGTGAGGAGGTCTTCACCGTTTTCATTTATACTTTCATCACCAAAAGTTTCCAATATCCTTTCATAACCAGACCTCTTCACCCCAACCCTTACATTAAAGTCTCCCAACATAATAATATTTTCATTTTCCTTACATTTCGTCAACAACTAATGAGACTTAAACAAGAAATTAAGAAAATACAGTCAGAATTGATCAACATAAAAGGATTGGTCTTCATCATGTTAACGCCAAACCACATCCATTTTTGGTCACTCAACAAAAACTGAGAGAGCTTGGTTGGGAAGTATTAATGCATCTACCATATCGTCCTAACCTTACACCTTCAGATTTTTACTTGTTTCGTCCCTTCGGAATCTTTGGGTAGTGTTAGGTTAACATCAATAGAAGACTGTCAAAACGAAATGTCACATTTTTTTTGATCAAAAATCCCAAGATTTCTATTGTAACGGGTATGTATCACTACCTATCAGATAACAAGTTATCGAACAAAATGGCAAATATATTATATTGAAACTAGCTTGTCAGGCAGACGTTATTCTGCCCTTTTCGACGTCCTATTAAAAACCCTCAAATTCGCGGGTCACCCAAAAAAAAATTGTGGGTCACTCATGGACAAAAAACCATCCTATCTCTCAAGTTGGACCAAACTGCACACGGTGTGCAAATTTGATTAAAATCGATTAAGTAGTTTAGGAGTCCATCGCGGACAAACAACGTGACAAGTATTTTTTTATATATTAAGATGTTATTAAACTTTGAATAAAGAATGTCTTTAATTTGTGTATAAAATACGAAGAAACTTTTTCCCGGGCCTATTATATTCTTTTAGGCAGGAAAAGTACTACTATATTAGATTCGTCTTTAAGTCCATTGAATTAGGAAAAAAAAATAAATGTAAAGAATCACATAATTAAGGTGTGTTAAAAAGTCTTAAATAACGGTAAATGTTTATACACATTCATTCGAGTCAAGGCAAAAAATACTAAGTGTAATTTAAAATCGAATACCTACTAAGTAAAAATTATTCATAAATCGGTAAAATTTTAGTAGCTTGGTAGCCGAAAACTGTAAGAATGTGATTTTTTCAAAGTTACCAAGTGACAACAAAAGTCTTCCTAGCGGTACGAGAGTATGACATATCGACGCAGAATTTTTTTGCTGCAATTAATGATGTAGTACCCGGATGACCGAGCTTTGCTCGGTTTTTTTAAGTTACATTTATATACAAATTACATGAATAATAGTTTTTGATCTTATTGACATAATAGAAAAAACTGAACTGGTTATTTTAGTTTAATTAAAATTTTCGTATTTTTAAAAAATACTAAAAAAAGGGCTCGAAATAATAGATTTTCTCACAAAAGAAGGGAACTTGAAAAAAAAAAGGGAAAGAAGTTGGACCCAAGACGGGACGCGAACCACGGAACTCCGATATCACGCCCGAACAACATCCCATCTGAGCTATTACGATCGTTGGTTACCTGTCAAAATTTACCTTCTTATATTGTAGCAGTTTTTTATCGCCTGAAAACACGGACAAAAGGACATTTTCTAAAAATAAATCCTAGCTAGATCGATTTATTGCCCCCGAAACTCCCTGGTCACTAAATTTTATGAAAATCGTTGAAGCCGTTTCCGAGATCCCGATTATATATATACAAGAATTGCTCGTTTAAAGGTATAGGATATAATATCGGCTGTCATATCGTTTGACAATTATTGCCTTTCAAGCGTCGATATTATCTTTAATTATACTGATAATATGAATTTGAAATCAATTCGAATGTCTTTTTTACCAAAAACAAAAGCTTTTGTCGACACAACAAATAGACTGAAATATTTTTGCATTTATAATATTAGTGTGTTTTTTTTCCTAGCTCAACGGTATCGAAGTGAATCTCCCTAAACTTTATGAACTCGTGCAACGGTGCGGTGGTCTCAAGAAAGTTATAGAAAAGAAACGTTGGAGTCGTGTAGCCGAAGAAATGAAACTTACCAAATCTCCTAATATTGAAAAAAAAATTGATCAAATTTATGTTAAATACATATTACCTTATGATACGATGTCTAACAGTAAGTCAAATTTATAGAACTATTTATTTATTTGCGACTTAACTACAAAAAATCTATTTGAAAAATCGATTGCGAAAAAGATTATTTTGCTGATATAACTGTTCTTAATTCTTGTTATTCTTATTTCGTTTAACGTTTACTTGTATATAATTAAAAAAAAAACTTTTGGAAAATCCAAATGTGCATGTCTTAAGCGCTCATGTTACGCGCATCATTTTATAAAGTATTTTAAATACACACAAGTTTTCACTAATAACCTTACTACTACACTTCTAATTTTCCGATAATTTTATGTCAAACGTCAATTAAAAAAGTTTGGAAAATCCAAAAGTGAACGACTGAGAAAATGTAGAAAAAAAATCTCAATCAACAATAGACTTTTTTAAATTTACAGTGTTATTATTATTGAGATTAATATTTTTTTAATTTGTTTATTGAAAACATTTTAACAGAATTATCTTAAAACTATTAAAAATCAACTTTAATATTACTTTAATTTTTAAGTATTTGTACTCGGGCATTATCATAAAAACTAGTTTTTTTTTACCTGACTCGTTAATCATTTTTTTCTCATCAATTTTATTTCACACTGTGCTTTTTATGTCATTTATATGTTCAATATGATATGAATATAATATACGATTTCATGCGACAATACGTTGGATTCTTGATTTTTAGGCGCTAGTAGAATATACCTATGCGTTTTGTGCTTAAGGCATGCAATATACACGTAACAAGTAATATTAAATAGTCATAAGAGTTATATTTATTTTGCCATTGCACCATTTGATACAATTAGTCTGTACTTAAATTGATGTGTCTATCCTATTTCAAAGTAGGCAGAAGACTGTAGTTATCCTAAATTTAAATGCTACTTGAACTGAAATAAACTTGAAGTGAAATATTTTTCATATGCATAAACAAATGACAATTATATTGCTACTTTATTCTTTTAGTCTCGGCTTACGTAGTAAAAATTTAGAAACATTACAAAAGAACCTTGATCTTAATCATATCATGTATCAATCATATGTCAATAGATCAACATCATCTTTAACATTCCAAAAACTACTTTCAACTATTTTAAAATAGTAGACCATAAGGCGTTATACAAAATTATATCTGTATAATTATATCTAAATATGTTAATACGTGGATATTGTGACACCGCCAACCGTGTAGTGGCGGTTTAAGAACACTATCCGCTGCCGCATTCTGTCCGTGCGTGTAGCAAGAGGCGACGGAGGAAAACTGAAATAAGTGATGGCCAGAAGCATTTTATATAACAATAACTCAAAAACACTGCATTTGCAAACCCGCCTCGGAGTCATCGTCATTTGCTGAGCATAGGCGAATGAGGAGGCCTATGTTCAGCAGACGACTTATATTTTGTAATTGAATGGAATCGATGTATAACATGAATACTTGGATAAGAGTGTTTACTAATTACTTTATAATTTACAGAAGAACGTCTAGAAATTATGAATAACGTAGAAGTTAACTGGAATAAGAAAAATAAAAGGATGCTTGATAGAGCATTAAATCCCTTGCACAGACAAAAACGTCTTCTGGGTGAATCAGAATCGTCTGAAGAAGATGATGATGACGATTTAAATATTACTCAAGCTTTAATCGAAGCCGAAGATTGCATAGTAACCGGACGTTATATGAATTTGGCAACGTTTAAAAAGGTAATTCAGTCTCTAGACATTGCTAACTGTAAATTAGCAACTTTTTTGCCTATAATGTGTTGATATATTTAAAACTTATGTAAATAATATTATTTAATTGATTAATACAAAATTTTCGTTCTAGCACAATAAACAAGTAACTCAGAGAACATCGTAGTGTTAAATATACCATAAGTACTTCATTTGAGCTCAAAAGTTAATTGATAACGAACAAATTACAATGACAAGTGAACAGTATTGCAATACCAAATATCGTTACACGTAAATCTAAGAGCAATTTTTTTTCATTGATCCACACGATTATGTAAATTGCCGATACAGGTTCGCCGATATCGGTTTACTGAACTATTTAGAGCTACCCACTACGATGGTTTCTAATCCTCATTATTGCGTCGCAAGTCATCGACGATAACATGTCAGTACCATGTACATCCACTCTCTACAGAATCGTCCCGATAAATCAAGAACGTGTAGCGTAATTGCACACAGATGAATAAGTTTCGAACTATCCATGAATTACGGTGTCCCTCAAGGAAGCATTATAAGCCCTAAGCTCTTAGTCTACATCAATGACCTCTGCTCTCTCAAAATTCCTAACTTATTTATATTCTAGGTAGCCAATAAAGTAATAGCGACGCATTTTTCTACACCACACCCTGCTACGCAGGATGTAGAAAGTGCATATTGGAAATTAGTAATTATGGCAAAAGAGCACGTATGTGTTAATGCCGCGTCAATAGATACTGGAGAAGAGGGATATGGATTTACAAAGAATCAACGAGATATTATTGGGAGACACCCGTGGAATCTGAAGGTATTTTTATTGCATTATAACTGAAACTCAAGAATAATTACGCATAGAAACTGCGCCTAGGATAAAATATGAGCGTTATCCAGTGGCGAAGCCTCTATACAAGCCCAGAAGCCCGGCTTGCTATATATATATTTCTATTTATAAAACCTAAACTGCAAAATTCTTTTTAGATGGTAGCATCTATATGTTCATTAAACACGGTGGTTTGCACTCGATTAAAAGAGTTGGTGTTTATACTTTAATTATATGATTGGTGATGATTTGCGAGTCTTTGTCATTACAATACATTTGTCAGCATTTAAAAATTGATGACTCGCAGCAATATTTACAAAACTTATCTAAATCACCTGCACACAAATATCTCTTCTCTCTCTCGTCTTACATAATTTTGCATCATCAACATAGAGTAAGTAGTTAGTATTACTTAAAACAAGTTCTGTTACTAAAAACTTTTGTGGTATTTGATCAGAAATTTTCTTAGATTTTACATATAATCAAAATGGGTTTGGATTTTCTTTAATCTCTTTTTCAGAAAAAAATATATACCTAGTATAACAATCTCTCTCCATCTTAAATAATCTTTCTCGGAGGAGTGAACAAATTCGATAGTTCAAACTACTTCAGCACTTATAAATTTTCTATTTGTTATGGAATTTGTGTTTTTCGTCACTTAATTTTATAATAGATCGCGTGTACCAAGGAGGATATTATTACAATAATTATTAGAATAGATTAAAAATTATGAATAGAAGATTAGAATAGTACTTCCTAGGCACAAATTAACTTACTAATGTACTAAAGTCAGTATTGTTGCGCGCCATAATTAATGTAATAAGCGCCATCTAGTGTCGAGTAACAGAACTAGGAGAGCTTTTTAGAAAATTACATACAAGAACTTTCTACACCTAGTCGGTCGAGACCGGCATGTGCTCGAACATGCTAGATGTTTCGGCGGAAGAAGCCCTATAAAAGGCCAGTAAGGACCGCGACTGAGTCAGTATTGAATTGGCGATGCAAGCGAATACTTTAAAGCGATATAATTGTGAATTGTGTTTTATTATTAGTGTGTTTTAAGTTGTAATTGTTGTTCGGTAATTAAGGTGTCAATTTTGGTAATTCAATCGGCAGTTTTTAATTGCACGAACCCCAAGCTCGTAACAATATTATATCTATAACATACAGTGAAGACAAGTTAAATAATTCCACGGATTGATATGGGATAGTGGATATGTTTACACCGCCACTACATCGTCTACTTGAACAGGAATGGAAACATTAAATATTATTTTCAGTTTCAATTATAATTGTTTTAATAATTCTTGCGAGATGTGTTCGACAGAGCGTTTACCTTGCCTTGTGGGCTCACCGAGTGAACCTCATGATATGTATTATTTTAGTTTTAACTGTCTAATGTTCGTGCTCCTTTTCGGTTTCTGTGCGTTATTATTCTAAGAGTTAAACAATCTTTTCGCTTTATTGCTAAATTGTATTGAATATCATACTTTGTAAACGCTTAGCTGTAGCAGTGTCAATATAAATGCGTAAGACTTTTTTAATAATTTTTTATTTTTCAACAGGTGTTAAGTTGTAATCCTGGCAATATTCTGCGATATTTGGGTTCCAAATTGGGTGTCACTGTACCGACTTTGCACCTTGGTATGGTTTTTTCAACTAGCTGCTGGCACCGAGATCCGCACGGTCTACCTTGGATAGAGTTTATGCACTCGGGACCCGCCAAGATTTGGTAAGTTTCACATTTATTGCATTTATCATTAAGTAAGAAAAGTAAAGTAAAGTTTACTTATTCACTGCCTTGACTAATGTAAAGGAGTAAGTAACAAAAAACGTATTTTAAAAATTTTGAAACTTAGGATGAATATACAAAATGTATTTTTTTAATTATGGGTTGTCTGCATAATATTATTTCCGTTTTCTAGTTTTAAATCACCATTATCACAACCATTACGATCCATGACTAGTCCACTGCCGACCCAATGCCTCCCCAAAAAATGTACAAAACATGGTGCTGAGCCTGCGCACATCGACATCCTTTATCGCTTACCGGGTGGTCACTCCATCAAGTGGGTGCCGCCCTATACTTTGCTTACCGGTACAAGGCTGCCACTCGTTATCCTTTCTTTCTCATCTTTTGTCTATTTCAACGACGATTCGAGCTACATGCCCGCTCATTGCAACTTCAACTTACTGGTCTGTTGAGATATATCGGTTACGTTGGTTTTGCTGCGGATATCTTCACTAAGAAGTCTATGAAACTTCTAGCATAGATCTGATCATAGCTCGCTGAAACTACTAGTGACCTTTGGCCTCCTCGTATGACCTGCAGGAAAAAACTAGGTCTCAGATCCGTACGCACACGCACTGCATGTACACTCTTGTTTTCAACTTTTGAAGTATACGTGATGAGAAGAGGATGACGTCGTAATCTCTTAACGATGCCACAGTCTAAGAAGAACATACATTCAGTTATCGCGTTCGGTGTTGCCGGAAAAGCTGACATCGTCTAGACTCATCATGAATGAAATTGCTAGAATTGTCACAACGGGAATTAATAAAAAATAGTAAAGTATTTTTTATTCCACGTGTAATCAAATCAAATAGCTTAATCAGACAATTGGTATTCAGAAATAATAAAAATAGGTTATAAAATTTAATCAGTGTTACAAAAAAATAACTATAAATAAAGTCAACTGCCGAATACAATAAAAGCAGTTAATAACATATCATTGAGTAATAACATCCTACTTAAAATTTTACTCGAATACAACATGTTGAAATGTAAGTCGAAGCTTTCAAGTTGCATACACACAAATTGCATAGACAAAAATGGCATACACTCAAAATGACGTCATTAGCTTTGTTTGTCTTTGTTTTGTCATTTATATTGTTCATTGTTTTGCAATCCTACTGTATTGTACTACTACTTGTGAACTACTTCATGAATATATAAACAGGACATATAGGTAATATGTTATCAAGCCTAATATTCTCCCAGGACATGTTTTATGATGGCCCTAATTTATTAACAGACTAGCTGTGCCCGCGAATTTGTTCGCGTGGGATTAGTACTTTTGCTATTCTAAGTGATGATGATTTATTTGTAAATTAAACTGTCGCGAGGTTTTAGAAAGACTCTAATCTGAATAAAAAGATTCAGTTAATTGGTCATAAGTAATAGGTGTGATCGGGCTTAAAATTAGTGGGGTTTTCTATCAAGAAATTCTCAATAGCAACCCGGAGTCAAGAGTTTAGCAGTGTTTCGTCCCTATGCCTCAGAAAGCACGTAAACCCGTTTTATCTGTACCTGATCTCACTATATTTTTGTCGAATAACTAACCCGGACACAATGATAAATAGTTTTTAATATTTTGTAAAGTTCTATAATAGGCATTATTCATAATTTTGTCTTACGGATTTCCCCACCACCAAACAATTAAAACCATTTTTTCCGCGCAACCCATGTATCCTGATTTTAACATTTTAAGAGTAAATATTAGGAAAATGAACAAAAAAACCTCACTGCAATATTTTAATCCTAAAGTATTCATACTAATTTTATAGTTCCAAAAATCATTTATTAATTTTTCCCTATACAAATATAAAATCACGCCGTAAAAAAGATTTTTAAAATCCTTATTTTAATATCCAAGCATTTAAATTTTCCAAAAATTCTTTCTTAGTGGATGCCTACTTAATAAAAGGAAATTATTGTCACAATTTCACGCATCTACGTCTACGTAAAATTTGCACCCTTGCTTTAATACCGTAAGAGGCAAATTTTATTATTTAATTACTTTAAAGAATTAAATATTTTTCTCCCTACAAAATGAACATTAACTACCCCCTTCTTCCTACTCCGGTTAGGGGATGTTTTAGGAAATACCAAAATATTTTATCTACATACAAAAATGCACACCTTCTGCCCGTACCCCATAACGTCTTCCATAACGGATTATTTTGAAATCGCAAAATACGTGTTCATCATTTTTTAAATACAGTAATTTTTAAAGACAAAAGTCAATCGCTCTGTAAAATATTTTTGTAATAAAATAATTAACTGTAACACCTTTATTTCACCCTTTTAGGGATTGAATTATCCAAAATTATTTCATAGCTGATTTCTATGTCATAAAAGGTAGCTACTATCCAAATTTTAGATTTCTACTTCAAGCGATTTAGGTTGAGCTTGTGCGCTGGTAGATGAATTAGTCACTCGTTATAGTATATTATTATAACCGAGTATATAGTAGATACACAGTGAACAGTGACATCCGTCGGTAAAACTAATTTTACGACAAATTAAATTTTATTCTGATCGTTTTAACTATGTAATTGAAATTTTATAAACGCTATTTGCAAACGAAATAAAAAAAGCTTCTGATATAAAATAAGCATTTTGTCTAATTTTAAGTACCTATTAACTTAGCAAATAAACATAAAATAAAAATATGCCCTTTATTACTAATTCCAAATTATAAATCAAATAGAACAAATGCGTCAGGACGACACGGCATTATGAACTCTTGCCCAAGTATGAGAATGTCTACAATGATATCCTTTTTTATTTAAACATTTTATCGAATGCCTATAACCAGCCGTAAACCATATTATGTTGACTGTATATTATAATATATAACCCGCTTCTTCGGTTCCGTAATGGAGTAAAGCGTGCGTGATAGATTGTCGAAACTATATCAAATATGAGGCAATCAATGGGGAGGCTGAACATACTAGCTGTGGACTTTAAAACGCTGTAACGGTTATAGAATAAAAGTAAGAAACTTACATTTTCTAGTTCAATACACAAATATTGCGTTGAATGCAGCAAGCACATGATACTTTAACAAACAAACAGACATACAAAATGATAGAAATGTGTTCAATGTGCTTATTTTTAGCCCTTCTCAATCAATTTTGTTAGAAAAATATAAAATGTACAGGCATCGGCAATTTACATTTTTATTAAATGGATAGATTACCTAATTAAAAAAATGGAGCTCCATAGAGACACTAGCATTAAAAACACTCCTAGTCAATCTACATATTTATTTAAAACTTAAAAGATTTTTAATATTGATATGGTCACAATAGGATTTTTGTTAGGTCAGCGTAATTACTTAAGACAGAACCCTTAAGTAGGGACTGAATAAATTAACCGACTTGGTATTAAATGGATACCTCACAACTTCTTACGTTTGAAGAACTGAGTTACGAGACTTTGTTTTTGTTACCAGTTCTTTTAGATGGCATCTCATTTCTTATTCCTACTTTTTGTGCTTTCTGCTACCTTCTACTTATTGAATACCAACAACGTACGTATCTACACCTATTATTCCATTATATTATACAAATACAGGTACACTGATTCATTCACTGTAAATGTAACTTTGTAATCCTATATGTTTTTAAGGGATTACAAAGTTATTTATACAGTTGACGTATCTAGAAAACTCGACCGAAATTGCTAAATATTTTAATTTTTTCCTTATTTAACACTAAACATTAATTTTATTTTAAATTTTAAGCTTCTTATCTGCTATGAGGGGCCTTAGAGTTTTGATGATCGGTCAGTTAGTAAGTGACAAAATTAAGAAACTTTGACTAGTTATAATTCTTAAACTACTTGTTAATTGAATGGAATTTGAAATATGCCGTGTTTATACAATGCCTGCTTAGTTACTGAAAATTCAGGCTTCTAGTTTTATCCATAACGAAGTTATAAGGGGTCGATAATGGCCTGAACTGTCTCGAGAAAAGGATGGTATGGCCGTGCCGCGTTTTTCTCGACTTGGCGGGGGCACTGTCGTGCTCCAAGGTATAATGATACCTTACTCTAAATTAAAAGTAAAATTTTGATATACTTCCAGTTTACATGACGGGAAAGTACATAAAATACATATATCTATAATCTTGTCAAAAATTAGACTTCTATCGAAAGAGAAAATAAATTTTATTCAATTTCAAACTCTAGATCTAACTAGATGTGTGCAGAATATAATTTATAGAGTTTTAATTTGGACAACCTGAAGGGTTTTTCAAAAGTCCTTTGTTTCATACAAAGAACTTTTAAAATGGATAGAATAGAATCCTATATAGTATAATATTATTCTAATTGAAAGAGATAGAAGATATTTATTAAATTATTAAGAGCAATATTTTATTAGTGATTAATTAGTAAGAGCATTAATATATTTTTAATTTGTTTAGGTACGGGATTCCTGATGAACAGAGTGCAAACTTCCGTAGAGCAGTCGAGTTGCTCTGCCCTACTTCATGTCAAAATAAGTCTCTTTGGCTGTCATCTGATATAGTCATGATCCCACCCAACCTGCTCTTAGAGCACAATGTGTCCCTTTCAAGGGTGGAACAAAAGCCTGGAGAGTTCATTGTAGTCTTCCCCAAGGCTTATTCTTGCTCAATTTCTACAGGATATACTGTATCAGAGAGTGTGTACTTTGCTAATAACTCTTGGTTAAAAAGTGTTCACCAAGTGTTTAATGTAAGTAATAATTTAAGTTTTCTTTTTTTATAGAATAAGGATGACAATCGACCATATAGTTTACCTGATAGTAAGTTGGTGCGGTATCTTACCAAAATGCAGAATATATTTTAATCGCTGAGGATTAAGATGGAATGCCTCATTTGCAGCACTTCAGGAACACAGCAGTATTAAGTGTTATATTCTGTAATGGTGTGGCCCTTCGTGCTACGAGGGCGGCACTGAAAATTTCGGGAATCAAGGAAGTGACACAACATTACTATTTAAAAATGTATTTATTGCTTTTAGAAGTATTCTCTGCGAAATTTGACACATTTTTCCATACGATGAAACCAATCACTGAAGCAACCATTCCATTCGGAAGTTGGGGCCTCCAAAATGGCCGTTTTGTAGGCGTCCACAGCTTCTTCAGGGGATGAAAATCTCTGTCCACGCAATTTATTCTTTATTTTAGGGAAAGTATAGGAATCATTAGGGCTTAGGTCGGGGCTGTACGGCGGATGGTCTAATAATTCTGTTTTCTTGCTCTAAAAACTCTTTTGTTCTGTGTGCGGTGTGAGAACTCGCATTGTCCTGATGGAGGATGATGCGGCGGTTGAAGTTCTCTTTACGGAGTTCAGAAACGACCTGTGGCAAACAAATGCTAGCATACCATTCTGCATTAACCGTTCTTTGTCCCTCAAGAGGAATAGTCGTAACATGGCCGTTTTTGGAGACAAACGTGGCCACCATTTTTTTTGCAACACTCCGTGAACGAACAATTTTTGTTGGTTATAACTCATTTTCGAACACCCAAACTCGTGACTGGTTTTTTGTTTCGGGTTCGTACGCGTATATCCAGGATTTGTCACCTGATACGATGTTGTATACAACATTTGAGGATCCTGCGCGGAATCTTTGGAGAGTTCTGACTCACCAAGTAACGCGAGCCGCTTTTTGCTCTTCACAGAGCGAATGCGGTATCCATTGGGAAAACAACCTTTTTACACCTAATTGTTCATGCAAGATTATTTGTATTTGACTCATGCCAATGTCTAAAGTTGCCTGAATTTCACGGTATGTCACATGTCGATCTTCCTCAATCAGCTTACGCACAGCATCAACGTTTTCTTGGGTGACTGCAGTTTTTGGACGACCTTGACGGGGATCATCACTGAGCTTGACACATCCACGTTGAAATTCAGCAAACCAGCGATAAATTGTGGTTTTGGATGGGGCTTCATCACCAAATGCAGAAATCATCCGGTCAACACACTGTTTTTGTGTTAAACCACTTCGAAAGTCATAATAAATCATCGCTCTTGAATTTTCTCGAGTCAATTCCATTTTCTCAACGACTAAACAAGTTCGACAAAACCTTGTGACAAGACCGAGTTCTTTTTTTAAATAAATAAATGGTATTCGATTTTTAAAACCAAGGAGTTTTCAATTAAAAAGATTTTAATATGACAGGAACAGTGGAAATATTCCATTCCCGATACTTTTAGTGCGGCCTAGTATAACCGTAACATAGCTACAGATGCTAATGTTCAGCAGTGAGTTATTAATGGACTGTAATAATGATGATGATTTTTCAACCTACATAATAAAAGGATGTCAATCTGTATTTTTAATTTACGAGTATGTAACAGTTTCCTGGGAATTTAGTTAACCGAATTCATGAAATTTTTATTAAAGAATATATTTTTACCAATTGCAGTGATTATTGAAGTCTGTTTACATCGTTATCATCATCAACATCATCAATATTGTAGCCCTTCACAAGTCTACTGCTGAACATTGACCTACCCCAAGGAATGCCATAAAACATGGCAGGCAACGGCATCCAACGACTTCCTGGTATATCTCAATAGTTTGTCACCCACATCTAATGGGGCTGCCCTACACCTCGATAACCGATAGGAGGTTTTCCTATCGATTTTTGGTTCTTCGAGCTATATTGGCCCTAAATAGTATCCCTATTGCCTCAGCATCAGGACCACGACTCAGATCACCTGAGTTGTCCATGTAATGTGCTATGTGTCCCTGCTCATATATCTATCTTTGTGGAATTCTTTCAATACATGTTTACGTTAAGTTTACCACAGATTAAAGAAAATTACGGTCACAAAACAAAAAATAAATGTTTGGATACACTTTTATTTTTTTATCATTGTTGATGTTTTGACTTACTATAAATATTTATGCGATCAGCCGTTGTTTTTAAAAATCTGCTTCCATGTAACGATACTACGTACGCATACGCCTTACTCCTTGTCTTGATATTACCATCTGCATTTATATCATAATAATTTACGTGTGGATGCAATCAACCTAACGTCCTTTTACCAACTCCCCCTCGCTCCTCGCACATGCACACATTCGGGCACTTACTTACGCCCATATTCCCACAGAGGCAAACGCACGAGCACGCATACACATAATAACAAGAGAAGCAAACGTACTTGTAAAAACAGACAATAGACGCAAACATACAGTCGGACACATATAAGGAAAATAAAAAATAACACAAGAGAAGTCTAAGGCAGCGAATGCTCATGAAGAAGAAGAATTCTCTAAAATTATAAATTTGTCATTAAAGGCCTGATTATATTGTCCATTAAAATTCAAGTAAGAACTATTTTACTTAAAATCATAATATTATTTTGAACAGGAGGTGAGAGAAAGCTGCGAACCAACGATGTTTTCGCTGGAGCAACTCTTATTAGCGGCTGCACGAGACCCTCGCTCTCCGCTGTCGATTCTACCGGAAATATATGCCAGCCTCAGGACCATTATCAGTGAGGAACTCGACAACCGTACTGCCATAATCCGCTACAACGTTCCGGTAAGCGCACTGTCAACTTGACTAGACTTCCAAATACTAATTACCTATCGACCTCTTTTCGACCATGCCGACATATTCTAATTAAACATAATCATCAACGGGACAGTTCAGTCCCAAACAACCGTAAACACTAACATAAGAACTTTTGCATAAGCAATACATCGCTTTCTGGTAGTAACCGTTGTAACACTTCTGCAAAATTATCGGGATAGTCTAGAATCCAGTGTCAGTGACACAGGTACGATCACAACGAAACCACACCTGAAAGTTATACTTATTATACTATATTTTTACAAATGTTGCATTGCTTCGGGGTGGAATCCGAATTCAAAACCCACGGTATAGTAGCAGGGTCAAAATTCCCGATATTGTATCGGCTCACCACCTGGATGCTTGGCGGTCCACTACTGTACGTTTTACTTTTCCGGACTTTTACGACTTAGGGACCTTCAAGAAAAGAGCTTACTCCTTTCTAAAAGGCCAGCAACGCGTTTAATTCCTCACTGATGGTAGTCACCTACCATTAGGTGAGCCGCATGGTCGTTTGCCCCCTCTTTTATAAAAAAGGGTGCTCAAACGATTATTATTGCAGTGGTATTTTAGTTATAGATTGCTATGCACATAGTTTTTCTATGCTTAATGGATTTTTTATCAAGAGCAGCCTCTAGGATTCAGTTAGTTTTATGACTCTCCCTCTGAGTACCTCCATATCTAATGAGAGTGCAAAAAGCTTACTAATGAAAATACCAGCAATGTCCATCGAATTCTCCCTATTCTGGGAAGACCAATGACTTACTGTGGGTAGTAAATTAAACGTTTCCCTGGTCTCATTTTAAAGCGCTTTATTAAATACGGAAAAGTGGAATTTCGGAAATTAGGAGGATAGCCTAAGGAATCTTACAGAAAATTTAACATAATATGTCGTCGGTGTGGTTAATTTTTATGTCATTTTTAATTTTCAAGAATTTAACCAAATATTGATTTAATATTGATATAGTATTGATGATAAGTAGTTAACGAGACTGTAATAAAATAAATATGTTTGTTTTGGTGCCCATTCAACAGAGTCGCAACTGCAAACAGTCCCGTAAGCGACCAGCGGGAGCGTGGAATGTTCGCGAACAAGACGAGTGCGAAATCTGCCGCGCTACACTTTATCTGTCCAGGGTATATTTTATTATCTATCTTCGTAATTTATATATATATATATATATATATATATATGTGTGTGTGTGTGTGTGTGTGCGTGTTTTCATGTTGAAAGTACTTCATCATTATTTTATTTGGACACGATCGTCCAAGACACTTGGGATAAAAATGTATAGTACTTATTAGTTTACAAGAAGCGCCTTAATGTCCAAATAAAATAATGATGTACTTTTCAAAATGAAAATAAACGAGGTACATACCTCAGTAGGTATGTACCTAGTTTATTTATATATTCTTATACATGGTAGAGCCATGCTGCAATTATATTACTAGTATAGTTGTAGCACGAGTGGGTCGTACGTGCGGTTTTACTGGAAACGAGGCATTCCATCTTAGTCCTCACGGCTGACAACGCATCTGCATTTTGATTCGTAATCGAGGATAGATGTAGATGTCTATGGATCACGGCAACCACTTACCATCAGGTGGAATGTGTGCTCGTTTGTCAATCTATCCTATAAAAAAAATAAGTATACGTCGACTCGTTAGCACCTATCGTTCGTGTTGTACCTGTCCATATTATAATATAGGTATCGCCTCACGATAAGGCTCTTTTGGTTCACCCAATTATTATCTGATACAATTTTATAAATAAACGCTGGTTATATTAATCAATTACAATATATTTGTATACTACGTAGATGTATTCGGCTATTAGTGGGTATGAAATAATCCTAAAACACTTATGAAAGTGCGATCCGCAGCTTATCCCTAGGTTTGGGTAAAAACTATCGATATATCGATATTTTCTTAAATATATATACAATGGATTTCATTAATAACGGCCTCGGTTGTAACGACTTTTTGGTTATAGCGACGACAAACTTACGTCTCTTGAATTTAAAGCATACTTTCATAGGAAATTCATTCGGTAATAGCGACGTCGGTTATAGCGTCAATTTCGGGTATAGCGACTTGTTTTTATGAATCATTTTTTTTCTTCAAACACAAGAAAAGGAGGATGAAGAAGAGGAAGAAGATTGCAATCTAAATAAGATTCTAACAACTAGAGATGCATTATGTGCTATAACAACGCTCAAAAAGTACTGTTTATTTGGTGAAGGCCAAAATAATTTAGATGTTGAAGGAATTATGAAAATGGAATACACCTTACAGCGTGCACAAAAAACTAAACTTAAACAGTGCACTATAACACGTTTTTTTTCAATTACGCCCGTGTATAACATAATTAAATAAATGATAAGTAAATATGTAATTTCGGCTATAGAGACCTCCTGATATAGCAACGACATTAAAGTGATCCCTCCGCCGTCGTAATAACCGAAATTCACTGTATATATATATAATAAAGTCGAGATATATCGATATTCAATATTTAACTTCGAGTATCGAATTCGTATTGATTTCGATATATTTTCAAATGTTGTATTAGTCGACAAAAGAAGCTACAAAAACATTCATTTGCTGTTGTCTTTTTTCCGTCATCCAACCGTCCGGTAATACCATTTTGAGCCTTATGCTACTACATTATGCAAAACATGACGATATATCGATGTTTATCACGCGAATATATCGATACTGTTCAAAAATATCGATACCTTATTTTTTTCATTGAGTTCTGTTAAGTAAGTCGGAAAAAAGCGCTCCCGAACGTCTTTATTCGCGTTAGCTGGCGTTATGGCTTGATACATAAACACAATGTTCTACAAATTGAAGATCTTTACTCCATCGAATAAAAAGTCGAAATATTACTCTTTATAGCATGTTATTTGGACGCATTGCCTAAGAGATAATGAGACATTGAAATAATTTAACAGTCGGCTCGGCGCGCGTACGACGCGTTACCATATCCGTCCGAACGCCTCTATAAGCGAGGTCTAAAGTCGCGCCTCAGACGTGTGATATCCCCCCGAACGGGTTCCCGCCTTGTCGTGGCGGGGGCTTAGAAGCCGTGGCTTGGTAACCCACGGCGAAACAAAGAGGAACCCATATGGCTGGTCCGAGGTGGAGGGCCGGCCCGAGGTGGCCACTCCGAGTGGGCTTGGGAAGCCCACTTCGGATGTGTGTTGGTGGACTGCGGTGAGAGGTGTGTCCTCCCCACCTACCGCTGCAGCCGAGGTGGAGTCGCGGAGGAAGAGAAGTGTTGGTATGGCGATGCGCCACTCGCCCTATCCTCCGCGACTCAAACGGGGCCGCACCGTTGATGCGGTGGTGATGGGGCTGCGGGGGGAGAGGATTGTCGGTATTGCGAGGCGCCGCTCTCCCTATCCTCCGCAGCCGAATCTTGGTTGGCGGCGGAGCCATAGACCAGATCCGCCGCTGGGGTCGGGAAGGCTAGTACTTCTAAGTGCTCGTTTTTCCTGGCCCCATGGCCTTCGCGCATCGGACGCGGGGGCGTCTGTTGCGCAGATGTAATTGGAGGCCGTGGAGGAAGGCGTGCTATGTGTTCTGGTGCGCCTTACTTGGAAAGGAGAACGGGGAGGAATATTCCTCTCCCGATGAGGTGCTGCCATGGGGCGGCAGTCGCTGGTGGGGCCGCGGATGTGTGCGAAAGCGTTCCCGTAGCCCTGCCAATATGCGACGAAGGTGGAACACCATGGGGTTTTAGTCGGTGCGAGTCCGATATAACCCGTCCTTGCCCCCGCGAGGCGTGTATGCGTAGGCATTTCCCCATGTTAAAAAAAAAAAAAAGACGTGTGATATACGTAGGTGAAACCGCGAGGCTCAGCTAGTGCCAAATATGACAGGAAGTACACTCGTATTATTTGTTTTTCTGGAAAAATCTGTCGTGGTTGTATTATGTGTGACGTTACTTCATAAAACATGACGTCTTTACTTAATCGTCACGCATAGTGATTTTATTCGTAATGTTAGGTACAATCTACATCGATATACTCGTTTTCGGTTAGCCATTTCTTTTTATTAAAAAATTATGCCTTAAATAAATTATTTGGACGATCAAGTTAATTGTTTTCTAAATCAAGTGATGATTGTTATATTACATTGTAAATATTCCTTTCCGAGCGACCTTCAGAATATTTTTGGGCAGAGATGGTTTACGAGAAGTTTCGTTACGGTCATGTATATCTTAAGCTTATACAGCCGCGAATTAATAGGTGATAAGTCACTATGACCATATGTGCATTTTTTTATAGCATTGGATGACAAACTAGCATACAGTCCACCTGATGGTATATGGATATTGTGGGCCATAGACAGCTATATTTAACCTCGATTAAGAATCGAAATGCAGAAACGTTGTTACCCCTGAGAACTAAGATGGAATGCCTCGTTTCCAGTAAAACGGGTCTCCGATTCTCTACACTCACCATACGAAACAGTAGCATTACGCTCCTATTTTACGCTGGTATTCTGTGAGAGCGTGGTCCTGTCCCGGTTGAGTCAACCCATTCGTGCCACAACTATAACCGCAGCGTGGCTCTACCACATAAAAATTAAAAATTGGTACGTCTATGTAATTGGCATATGAATGGTTTTATGTAGATTGTATTATTTTCAAAATCGAAAAGATTTTTTATCTTTTTTGAATATCACTTCCTGTAAATCTGCTTGGAAAATAAGTCCTTCAGTTACCATCGTCCTATTTGGGCCCATTTTTAGTCTTTATAGCGGTCAAATCGCGGAACCACTTAATACTATTACTAGTATCGAGAAGGCCCCTTCTAAGTTCACATATTGTGACGGACAACTACGGTACCCCATACCTCTATACTGTGCATGGCCTGACACTTACTTAGCCGGACGTTTTTTTTTTAAATATAAACCGGCAATTTTATACTTCCCCCTATATATATTTCCCGGATACTGATCATAACGCAGTACCCTTTTGTGTTTCTTGCTCGCAAATTATTTATATTTTGATTTATTTCCCAGGTACGAGGGCTACCAACAAAAAAGAGTACTGTTTGTCTCCAGCACGGTCGACGTTTACTAGAGAGTCGACGGCAAAGCGAGCGGGAAGCGCCAATAGAGATGGACGTCTTTTTATCGGAGATTGAATTAGAAAAAATTTTACAAGCTATCCAGATGCGGTTAGTCTCCTAAAATGTGTCCAAAAGTAATTAAACAATACTTTGTTTCATAACATCGTCAAAGCTGGAATCTTTTGACTGTATTTTATTATCAGGCATTTCTACCTACATTTTGCATTTTGTAAATTGTCAACAAAATTGTTGAAATGAAATTAAATATTTTAATTTCTTTGACCCAAGGAATTTAAATTTCGTTTATACAATTTTGTTTACAAAGTTTACTATGGTTTTGAAATGAGTTTGCTCTTATCGGAGAAATAATTGTTATTCATTCAAGTGAATCTATTCACAATCGCTTGATATCCTAATTTAATAGCTTACAATATAATTTATATAGCGAAACATAAGAGATGTTAGTATTATTCCCGGTGTTACACCTTACTTAACTACACTGTCTGTAATATCGATATAACTGCCTTTTATTGAGCTATTGTAACAAAATTCAGGCGAAGCCGTGGCGGATCGCTGGTGTATCATATTTCCGTCTACCGAATTAAGTCGAATAGTAAGCAAAATTCTTAAAACCATTATTTGTGTTTCATATTGCGAAAAAATCGATCACCTTTTTTCGTTAGAAAAAAAACTTAAGTGATTTTTTAATAAAAACCTAACGATCCGTTCCGGCTTCGCCTGGCTTTTGGAACTGAATTGTGAAATGAGTAGCTTACCTCCCGGAACCATCAACACGTAAAAAAAGTATAAAACAAAGTATTGTACCCATTACTATTAAAATAAGTTTTCATTCAAATTTTGGGATCAATAAACATTACTTCTCAAAAATTGGATACAACAGGGTACTTAAATTTTATGATATACCAAATAATGATATTTATTTATAAATAGTTTATAGCATTTAATAATTCCATGTACGAACACTAGAAAGTGCAGTTTTACATGGCTAATTTGTGTGTTTGGTGACCGACACAATTAAAGAATTCCATTTTTGTTCAACTTTACGCCAAATATTAGATTTTTTTAGAATAGTAGCTTGTTGATTTGTTTCTTTCATTATGTAAATTTGAGATACCATGATAATTTGAATTTAGTTTATATAATTTCTAAATGTCTAAATTGTTGCGGTTAATGTAGTAAAAAATACTTTATAATTGTCAATTAACGTTGTATTAAAATTTACTGCTTTATAGCGCAGTTCTTCAGTGTATGGTTGTAACGTTTACGCGCTATGAGATCGAATCCCGCACAAAACTAATGTTTGTTCGTGTGTAGTTTTGTGTCTAAGTATTTGCGATATTTCTAGTGTTATAGATTTGGTTGAGTGTAAAAAGATGAAAAATGTCATTTGTTATTTAAGAACTTTCTACTAGTCTTTGGTTAAGATTACACAATTTTCAAACTGTAGGAAACTATTTCTAATCAGATTCTTATCAGTTATCATGTTTCTTATCAGATAACAATATAAGTGAATGTTCTCATAAATCAATCATGGCAAATAGGCATTTGTTTTCGTACAAAACATATCAGACTTATATAAGACAATACTTATGCGAGTAACTTTGTACAGATTTTGAGGTTTTTTCTTTGTATCTTAGAACCAATTTATTATTGTAGCTTCTAATGGGTTTTATATGAAAAACAGACCTTAAGCCTTGCCAGGTAGAACTAAAATCTAGTCCAGATTACGGGAACGTAAAATGATTTTTTAAAAACCATTTAAAATCTATTTATTTCTAATTACAATTATATTTATAACTACTTAATTAATACGTCTTGACAGAAGTCGATGTCAGAACGAAGTGGCCGCTCCCACGAGCTCTGCCTGATACCTCATGCAACCAAAAGCGCTGACTACGTTTACTGGATACTGTCTAATGCTTATGCAGTCCCCTCTAAGTACGAACCGTAACAACCCTATGATCTTGTGGTTGCATAACTATCTTCTTAATTTATGCTATTCTTTTGAATTACAAGAAAGTCGTAGGGACAGTTGTATGTAAAAGATCATTGCCTAGAAGGATATCTCAATAATTAATAAGCTGATCTTTCCAGTATTTTTCCCGTGTGCATTAGACACCGTGCTTATCTCCCGCAGTAAAATTTTGTCAGGAAGGAATTTTCACAGCGAATAGGAAATGTAGCAGGTACCACAAACTTTCCATACAAAAATATCGTTGACTAAAAAGATACAGATTATTTTTTTTAATATTTTAGAAAATATTAAACACGTTGCTTCTTACAAGTAAAAATAAATGTTTTGCACACTTGCGCCGGTTTTTGTCGCACAACTGACAGAGTAACTATGGAGTTACCATTACAAAAAAAATAAAAATATGTTGCCCTAATGATGGAAATTTACTATAAAATGGTGAAAAATAAGAAATAACTAAGCAAACGCTAAATATCATTATTGAAACAAGATGGGAAAATTTGTCTTTGTTAGCAAAGTTGCAGCACTTTGCGGTAGTAATAATGTTCTAATAATTTAACATCTTATTATAAGATTTCTTATTATTATAGATTACATACTTATTAAATCCTAATAATTCATGAACTCTGTAATTATTATATTCAGTTTCATTCTAGATTACATCTATATATTTCAATACATTCGTGTGTTGATTATATATTATTGTTCCTAAATATTTTATTAGAGTAGGTACTAGTTAGGGTAAACCCTCCATTCAATGAACGGCCAAGAACATTCTGTTAAAAAATTGCAGTCTAGCATACTGGTTACTTGTTTAATATCTACCATCCTCAGTTATTAGGCTCGAAAACAAGTTCTGTATTTTATAATATTTTGCCTGGATTTCAAATAATTAGCATAAGAAATTATTTGAAAATGCAATAAATGAACAGTCATTTCCAGTGAATGAAAACATAGAGAAACTTAGTAAATCGTTTGTAATTGCTTATTTTATATATTAAATAAAGTAAAAAAAAGGTATTACGTAATGTTGAAATTAAATTAAACACGATAATTGACCCTTTACATTATTATTATTAAGTATTTCAGGTATTTCTAATCACATTATACGCTTAGTATATTCTATAAAATAAAGTATAAATAATACTATAAAGTACTTACTTCTTGGAAATTAGAATTACGTGTACAAATTACCACAAACAAAAATATAAAATAGTTGTATAAGTTTTTACAAAGCTGCCATTTAACTAAAAGACTGACTGATGAAAGGAATGTAACCAGATTAAGAAAATATAACAAACCGAGAATTTCAACCAAAAAAAGTAGCATGCCTGGTAAAAAGGGTTAAATTGCTATAATTAAATATAAAAAGTATTCTGTTCATTTTCTAAGCAATGTGATGAAAATGAACATACTAGAAAATTATTATAATTTAAAATTAAGACCATAACTTTTCCATCTCATTTCATGATTACACATTACAAATTACTTCGCATTAAGCTGTTGGACCAAATCCTAATCCAAAAGTGATCGCCTATTATAGGTTGAATTTCGACCCCTAGGCGATCACTACTTTGATTAAATTGAAAACTGTAAACTAAAATTAATAAACGTTTGTGTAAAAAGTTCAGGATCATTTTATTCATTTTATTTTATTTTTTAATTTTTTTTATCCCTTTGAGGGATTAATTAATACACAAACTCCGGTAAAACAGCCAATTAGGGTGGTATTTTTATCTGAAGATTTTTTTTGTAGTTAGTAAAGTAAGTAGTTTAGTAGTGTAGTAAATTGGGTAATAGATTACTTTAAAATATAAAATAAGAATCATCAAAATCGATTTTCAATCAGCTAAAATATTAAGTAATATATATTCAAAAACACAGTCCACTAAGTATTTAATAGAAGTCGAGTCCAAGTGTAATTTTTAAGCAACAAATGGTAAAACTGACAAACTCTGCCTGGAAAGTCAATATGAAAAACTTGGACTGTAAAATTACGGATAATGCACAAAAACTCACAATCGTTAATACAAATAGTGGTCCGCTATGTTGGGCCATAAAAAATGAAAATTACGGACGGTAATTTATCATGTAGTGCACAAGCATGGATACGAGAGTGTACGGTCAGTGCCGCGGTCTCCGGTAGAGTGGTGGTAGAGAGTCAGATGACGCGCTCGAGTCAATTAAACGGCAGGAAGGACAGAAAGCCGTGGTGTTTTGGTCCAGAAGAAGGTTGCTGAACAGGATTCGGAAATGTCTCGGCTTTCCTCTTTACGACAGTGTTCCGCTACCGGAATCGGGAGCTCTACGGTTCCCGGCGCTCGGGGTGGTAAAGCCTAGAAATGTAACTCCCGAGAAAGACGACAACTTGGAAGTTTCGATGGTCTGAATAGTATTGGGACATCGTAGTAGCACTGCAAGGGTGCTGCAAGCCAATATGCTGCGTCTGGCTGGCATTGAATGGAGTTTCTGGTCCTATCCTGATATAGTATCACTACTTTGTGTCCTAATTATTAATAAGTTTAAAGTTAATGTTTCTATATTCTAATAATTTTATGTTTAAATTCAATATTAGAATATTACAGTGGGAACGTAGGGCGTAAGTGGGTGATGTATTCGCCAACAAACACCCTGCAGTTTGGCGAAAGTCTACAGCAACAAGAAGACAACCGATTGGATGTTTTGTAAATAAATATTAAAAAATGAGATCCCGGCAGCCCTCTGACATGCTGATGGTGAGCGCCGTAGAATAAATGCCAGCTTGCAGGTGCTATACGTTGCCGATGGTGTTGGCTGGAGTTAATGGAAGGGGTTTCTGAGGATGACGATAGCTTGAAGTTGAGGTTTTCGAATATTGCTGGAAGCATGTTCGTATCACATTGGGGTGACCAATTATGCCGAGGAAGGAAAAAGGGGAAATCTCTTGCCCGCCAAGGTGTTCTGCGCGGGGAGTCTCCGGTTCTCTACACTCACCATAAGAAACAGAGCAGTAATAAGCTACTATTTTACGTTGGTATTCTGTGAGAGCGTGGTCTTTCCCCGGTCAAGCCGACCTATTTGTGCTACAACTATACTAGTAATATAACTACAGCATGGCTCTACCACATATAAAAGGTTATGTGGCTGTCATGGCAATAATAATAAAAAGAGAGTGTCGATTTTAACGACTTTTTTTCTAACATCTTCTATTGAAGCATAAGTGGAGCTTAAAGTCGTTCGCAAATATACAAAATCTAACATCCGCCAAGTATAAAAACTTTGATTAACAGCGTTTGTATAAAAATGGTTATTATTATCATATTTAGTAATTTTTGGATAATAATTTGGGATCATTGGGAATGATATGATCGCTACTAAGCCTTTTCTATTTTGTTTCGTAATGTTATCATCATCATTACAATCCTTCACAAGTCCACTGCTGAACATAGGTCTCTCTCACGGAATGCCACAAAGCACGGCCCACAGCCACCTGCATCCATCGACTTTCTGCGTGTCTTGCCAGGTCGTCACTTCATATAGTTGGGGGTCGCTATACACTTCACCTACCGGTACGAGGCTGCCAACTTTTTTCCTCATCGGTTATCAATTTTTCGAGCTATGTGAGTGTCGATTTTAACGACTTTTTTTCTAACATCATCTATTGAAGCGTCATTTTTTATTTTTTTATAAATTGGTAGAGTAAAGGATGGTAATTCGGAATACTGCTGGTAATTTGGAATACTGCATTATAAAAATAAAGAAAAGCGCCATCTAATAACGAATGCCTGTATTACGTAGTCCGTGTACTAACAAACAAAGAGGGCGTGACTGAGAAGCAGCCATATTGACAGCGCCGTGACAAACTGCATCGGAGTGAAAGTGCTGTCGAGAAAATTTTTCAAGTAAGTAATAAATCGGCTTGCATCTTGAGTTTAACTTATATTTACATGTTTGTATTTGTACAAATCTATAGTTTTGTGTATCAGTTGTAGAAATCATGGCTTATTTTCGAAATTATTCTAAACACACATTGATAAAAATATTTTAGGTTAAAAATGGTTCTTTTGCTAATTTGGAATACTATAGGTGAAGTCAATTTGGAATATTCTAAATTATGTGCACATTAGTTTGCCTTCTTGTTTCTACTTCTGATTGAAAGGATTCTTTTTAAGTATTTATTATTTATTCAAATAGTCTTTTTGATCAATATTATTTAATTTTGTTTTAGTAATGTCTTCGACCACTGCTAACTCTGCCAGTAAATATAAAAAGCGTAAGAAGTGGAGTCAAAATGATATGGCTGCTGTAATATTAGCAGTTCGAGACAAGAAAATGGGCTATTTAAAGGCAGCAAAAACTTATAATGTACCCAGAACCACCTTATTTCGACTTGTTCAAGAAAATGACAGTTTGTTAGAAGATACTCTGACCAAAAAGATAGGTCGCAGACCAGTATTTAATAAGGTTTTTGAGGAAATGTTGGTGAAATATGCCCTTGTTATGGAACAAAAATTATATGGTTTGACTCGAATGGATATGAGAAGGATAGCATATCAACTTGCTGTTAAAAATAATGTGCCCCATCCATTCCATGACGACAGAGCTGGCAGATACTGGCTCAAAGGATTTCTTGCGAGGCACAAGCAAACTTTATCAATACGCAAGCCCACTGGAACACCTTTTGCTAGAGCCAATGGATTTACAAAATCAAGAATGGACGAGTTTTATCAAAATCTTGAGAAAGTTTATGACGAAAAAAAGTTCACGGCTAGTAGGATTTTTAATGTTGACGAAACAGGACTGTCAATTGTACAAAGCAAATATCCCAAAGTGATTGGTCGCCGAGTAAAAAAGCAAATTGGAGCTATGTTGTCTACTGAAAGGGGAACTCTCATAACAGTGATGACCTGTATGAGTCCAGCTGGTATATTTGTACCGCCAATGATGATTTTCCCGCGCAAAAATAATAGCGACCTATTAAAGAAAGGCTCTCCTGAGGGTTCTATTATCCGAGTACATCCTTCTGGCTGTATACAAACACATTTATTCACGCAGTGGTTTGAACATTTTATCGATTATGTAAAGCCGTCCGAATCCTCACCAGTTCTCCTCTTATTTGACGGTCATTTCAGCCACACAAAGAATATCGAGCTCATAGATAAAGCTAGACAGAATCATGTGACTTTGATTTCACTGCCGCCACATTGCACACATAAGATCCAGCCCATGGATAAAGCATTCATGGGGCCACTAAAAAGTTACTACTACAGTGAAGAAATTCTTATGTGGTTGCGCGAAAACAATAGACCACTTACTGCCTACGATATTTCAGAGTTATTTGGCAAAGCTTATCTAAAATGCCAGACTGGTGAAATTGCAGCAAATGGCTTTGGAGTTGGTGGCATTTATCCATTAAATACAAATATTTTCACGGAATCTGACTATCTCGCAGCAGCACAAGAATCAGCGGATGGCATTGCTGAAAACGAACAAGAAGCACGTAGTCCTATCGCTGCAAGTCCACAAGTCATAAATGAAGCTGGAAATCATTCACCAACCCTATTACAAGGTTTCGATGACAGTCATGTTGATGTTTCGTCAGATAGCAGACAACAGTCAAATGAAATTGTGTCGGAAACAGATCCTCCATCAGTAAACCTTCCTGATATTGCCATGCGAGAAGAACAAGAAAAAGAAAATCTTCCTGGACCTTCTCGTAGTAACCCCATTGTGACACCGTTTCAAATCTCACCAGTTCCTACTTCCAAATATCGGTCATCAAATCGAGGTCGTAAGCCAGGTAAATCTGAAATAATTTCTAGCTCACCCTACAAAAAGCAATTGGAAGAAGCAATAAACAAAAAAAAAACTGAAAAAAAACCATTTGAAAATGAGTATAAAAATAGAAACAAAGAAAAGAAAACAAAGAGAAATTTAAAAGGGAAAGGAAAGGGAAAAGGGAAAAGTTCCATATCAACCAAAAGAAAGATATTTCCAGAAAAAGACACAGAGTCTGATAGTGATGATACATTCGCATCTGATGAATCAGAAGAAGATATACCCTCTTATGCTAATGTGGGACAACCTACAGGAAATGACTGTATTTGTTTTTTCTGTAATGGAAAATTTACCGAAGATCAAAGGGGAGAACAATGGGTGCAATGCTTCACATGCGAAGGCTGGGTGCACAGCGAATGTGCTGGTTATGATTCGGGTTGCTATGTTTGTGATTACTGCAAAGACTAGAGAAAAGCAAAAAAGTAGAATTGATTTAGAAATAAGGATTGATATAGTTTTTTTAATTTAAGTGATCTCAGTATCTTGTATCTACAAGATTTAGGCCAATTAAATGGTTAATTAAAGTTAATTATTTAGGTGATTGTAATTTGGAATACCCTATTCCAAATTTGATTCACTTTATCTAAACTACGCCAATCTGTGACTCTATGACTAAACCAAAAAAATTCCTACTTAAAATAAGCCAAGGTTTTCAATTATTTTTATTTGATTAAAAGATAAGTTTTTCTAACATTGAATGCAGTTTTTATTCTTAAAACTCTCAACCCATGACTGATACGATTTTTTTAGAAAGTGGTATTCCAAATTTGCATCCTTTACTCTAGTAACTTCTGAAGTGCCTTCATGCGCTTACAATTATTTTTAAAACCATCACACGATGTGTCCCATAATATGGGACACATCGTGTGCTTTTATTTTATGTAACATAATATAAAATCCTATAAATATTTTTGATGGATTTCGAATCGATTTCGGCCGCATCGCTACAAAAGTCGTCCTCTTCCATCGCTTCTCCAGAGCAGAATGACGCGATCCGTATTGCAGCAACACTACACGCGAAATATTTATCATGATCCTTGGATCGCGATATGGATTTTCGGAAATCTAGAAATTCTGTGATCCGTATCGCGATCCATCAATACTTGAAACTACACGTTCAATAAATATCACGATCCTGGATCGCCATCCAAGGATCGTGATAAATATCATGCGTATAGCATTCGCTTAAAAGAAAATAAAATCCTAAATAAAACGCAAACAATTCAATCAAAGCTTTATTAGAGCTCATTTCCACTCGTCGGGTGTCGGGCGCCGTATTTTAATCGGATGTCGGCGTCTCTGCACACAATAGTCCGTTGTCGGACCCGAATGAAACGGGAGCAATTGTATTTTAAATCTTTTATTTTATTTTTATTTTAACTATACACGATGGACTTTGACGAGGCTTTTGTTATGATGTATTATTTGAGAAGAAAAAAAAGCCTTTTTTCTGAACTAGTGTGATCAAATCTTCAGGATCTATATTACCGTTTTACATTATTAACAAACACCAAACGTGCGTATAATAGGTATATTGAATACAATAAGACGCAACAGCACCCCTTGCGCGCTGGGATATGTGTATACTGTGTACGTGATCTGCGGTACTGCGGCAAACAGCAGTTAGCGGCGGGCAGAAGAAGAAGTGGCGAGAGGTTGCCCAGCCTTAATATCCGACATAATGTGAACCGCGCCATACTTACTCATAGGCGAACGAGATTCAACACAAGTTTTTTACGGATGTAGAGGGCTAGCAAAATACCCTATATGTCTTGTCGGTGCCGATAAAAATACGGTGCCGGATAAGTGTGAACAGCTTCATATAAAATTTTCGCCCACGATAGCAAACTAATTTTCTGTCGGGCCAAACACCCGACAAGCACAGCGCCGGATTAACCACGTAGCAAGAGTAGCAATTGCTACGGGCCCCGCGCATAAGGGGCCCCCGCGTATCCTAACCCGCCCATCACCGTCTAAGCGTAATTTTTGAGTGAAACTTATTAAGACAGTAAATTGAATTAACTTGATGTCACAAAAACGTAAAACGTTTCAAAAGACGATCGGTAGGTAACAAATTACTTCGTGTAATCTGTGACAGATGACACGAATATGATCTGTGAGTGCAAGACACGTCTCGTCTCGATGCGTACTTCTCTCTATGATCTATACATAGTATATATACAGCACAGATTACCCCCTAGGTAATCTACTACACAAATACGCAATACAACAGTACACAACAGACATGCAAACGAAGGGATTTTGAACCACAATATCATGTAAATCTATTACAGCAGAGGAAATTTAGAAAGAAACTCCAATTATGGTCAGTGCTTATGTAAATGGTTTGGAAGACAACATAGACGGCGAATGAATGCAGTTTGCCGAGTTGCTCAAAACGGATGATGCTGGTGCAGGCGACAGTAGGAAAACGAATCTCTGTAAATTCAATATTATAAATTCCTAATGGATAATTCACTAGAATCGCGTTTCCATAATTTAGAAACTGATTTGTGCATTTATTGGCTCTCATCATCAATAACTGCAGTGGTGAGCGTACATTTCCGACTGTTAGCGACGACAAAGTGAATTCGAACATTTAATCTTAATTGTTTCTTATCAGTGATTTAAAACTAAGTGTTAGCATTTAATCTTAATTGTTTCTTATCAGTTAGCATTTAATCTCAATTGTTTCTTATTCGTAATATAAAGCTGAGTGTAAAGACTGATAGTGCTGATAACAAGAAAGTAAATTAATTGCTTCAATTCTTATCTTAAAATAACGTATATGAATCTATTTAATTATTTAAGTTTGATTAGAATATTAGAAGCAAAGTATGAGCTTATTTTCTTAGTAAACTTTCTTTTATCATAACTTTAAGAGCTATTAACATATAAGTGATTTATATAATTCTTTTTCCTTTTAAAGTAATCTAAAATAAAAATTAATATTTCAATTAATTACTTATAATGTAATCTTTATTATAAGATAGATTAAAATTTCATAGAATATGAAAAGATATTGTATAGAATCTTAAGCATTATTATCGTGATAAGCGTTGTACATTCCTGCCTCTTGGCGGCGCTACTTGTATGTTCAGCGAAAAATACTATCCTACTCCGGAGCTAAACCGTGAGGAGACCGCGAACCTATTTTTATTTTTTACAAGCTTAAATTTAAACTTATGTAAATGATTTATGTTTAAAATAGTAAAGTTATATCTATTGTCAGGAATATGTAAAAATATTATAAGGTCTATTTTACCACATATTTTAAAGAAATTTCTAAATTTCCCTTAGAAAAGGTCGTTCTGCGCTCCAATTGGTCGACGGGAATCATTAGTGCCGTGTGCAAATTTAATTAATTATGATTGGTCACAGGTACCTATAAAAAAAGGGGCGTTTTTTGTGGTAAAACATTCCCCAAATCCGGCAATGTAAGAAGTACTCAGAAAAATAAACAAGAAGATATTTCAAGAAGTGTTATTTATTCACTCAACCAACTGCAACTGCATTGCTCTCCGAATTAATATCCCGCCAGCAATAAAGTTTAACAGTCTCACACACGAGCACACATTCAACATTGGTCCTTCGAGAAGCCAGATCGGGTTTTAAGGAAAATTTGGAAGATGCCTTCGAATACAAGATCAAAATCAGTGCAGTCGAAGACTACGAGTGAAAGTAACGCCACTACGGGTACCAGTACGACGGATTGGAGCATGAATACGCCGAGTGACTCTACAAGCACGTTGACTACTAACGCGTCAGCATCAGACCGATCGACGCTTATCAGATCATCGCCCAGCAGCATACACAGACAACCCGTACTACCTACCAAAAACATTGCCGGAAAGGAATCAGCACCGGGGGACGTAACACATACCACCCCCCCGGCCCGCACCGTCGAAGCGTCAGTTCACCAAGAAGAAAGTCCTCCCACGCCGCAGATTCAGGAAAAAAGTATCGCAATTAAGTCATTCTGAACGAAGGAAGCATACCAACGTCCAAAGAAAGAAATCTGCAACAGCGTCACCCTAAGAAGTCGACCCGCGATCCAGACACGCTTTCCGTTCGCTCGTCGCATAGGAAGAGAGCAGAAGCGCAAGCAAAAATGACAATGGCACTAAGAGAACTAGAACTGGCAGAAGCTCGGTCAAAAGTTGCTCAAGCAGAACTGGAACTTCTCACCGCAGAATCAGAAGAGGAAGATGGTGCCGGAGAAGAGCTGTTCGAATGAACACGAGAAGTTGAACGATGGTTCATCCAGACCGGGGATAAGAACCACAAAACCATAGAGGCAGAAGAAAAGAAAAGTGACATCCAGGAACTAGCTTCAGTCATATTAAAGTTATCAGAAAAGTCACGTGACACCGTTTCACCAAAGCACCTCGAACTCCCTCACTTCAACGGGGCCTGTGAAGAATGGTTGGCCTTCAAGAGATCATACGAGGATACGGCCGCTTCTTTCAGTAACAATCAGAACTTAGCGCGCCTTAGAATAGCGATCCAAGGAAAGGCTAGAGAAGCCGTCCAGAGCCTGCTATTCACCGCTGAAGACCCACGCGAAGTTATCAAGGGACTGGAAGCAAGATTCGGAAGACCTGGAGCACTAGCATTAGCAGAGCTGGAAAAGATGAAGAACCTCCCCAAAGTCGGCGAGAACCCAAGCGACATATGCATATTTGCGAGCAAAATAAAGAATGCCGTTGAAACAATTAAAGCCCTGAAGAAACCACAGTACCTCAGTTCACCTGAAACGCTGAAAGTTATAGTAGACAAGATGCCGACATCAATGAAGTTCCGTTGGTTCGCCTACTACAGAAGCAGAAGAGATGAAGAAATTCAGGAGCTATTACTCATCGAAGCGTTCCTAGAAATAGAAGCCGACATGTGCGGAGACTTCGCCCCGCCTGAAGCATATTCAGAGCCAAAAGGAGGAATAAGAAAACCCGTTCATTTGGTACAAGAAGCGTCAAAGGAAAAATAAAACAAATCATGTCCGTTCTGTGAAGAAGAACACTTCGCTCTAAAATGCAAGAAGTTCAAGGAAACCAACCTGAATGGGAAATGGGATATGACCAAGAAGGCAAAAATATGCTTCAAGTGCCTCCGGTTCAGGCACTCAAGGATCAACTGTAAAGCGCCAGTCTGCAAGCTGTGTAAAAGATGGCATCATACCATCCTACATTCTGACAGACCACCAGCACCGATTGAAAAAGAAGCAAAGGATATCAGTAGCTCGTCGGAAGAAAAAGTCGCCTCGATTCACAAAGCCAAAGGAGAAGAAAAGGCCTATCTAAAAATGATCCCGGTGAACCTTATGGCCAGACAAGTTCGGTACAGCACCTAGAGAAGGGCAACGTTACCTTAACCAACAAGAACCAAGAAAAGCTCACAATCGAAACCGT